CAATGAGAGCTAAACTAATTTGCGCAAACCAATTGGTACTCGTTGTTAGCGAGTGTTTGCGTTTTTTCCCCGATTGATCGGTAGATTTAGGTTTTGAGGGAAGCATACTATAAATCTAGCCTATCGTATGCTCTTCACAATCCTAACATAATTTTTCAGTCAATGTTAATGTGAGCTCATTTTTCATAACTGGCATTGTTCATGCATTTGAGCGATACTTTGTCTCTTATCACGCGTCTGCTCTTCTCATATACGAACATGGGGCCTGTTTCAATTATAGGGTATACTTATCTTGAGTATGAAGGACCGTTTTAACAGGGGTTCAACATCTTCAGAGTCAAGCTTTTAGAAAATCTGATGTTAGGCTTCCGCTAACGTGTTAGAACGCTCGGCCTTCTTCGAATTTTTCAATGCGCTGATGATGATATATGTGGAAGTGGAGTAAACGCTGATCATTTGAGTTTAATAGCTATATTTGAACCTTGAGATGTGTGTTATGACTCATGAAATGACACGCCTGCTTTTCCTTTATTTTCTTACACTTCATAGTACGAAGTAGTGCGATTTTTACGCTAGGTGTAGCACTGTCTAAGGGATTATTGTGGTTTCACGTAGCAAGGACGTTGAATAATTGCCAGATATCCTCAGACCGTTTGTCGCCCTCTTTTCTTGGAAACTGACGAGGTCAGCAGAAGAGGCGGGCATGTCGTTTACGTCGAAGTTGGTAATTATAAAGGATTAGTGCGATTGCGCAAGACGACATGGTCGGGTTTTCCCTTTTTCTTTTGGTAGGGTTTGTCAGCAGTGAAACTGGATGTAAACTATGAAAAGAGTGTTTGTTGTGCTTCTGAAAGTTTCACGAAGAGAGATGCTTTTTCTTCTTCTAAGATAAATCTTTCTCGTTCCAAGTTTTCAGATGTCGAATACGCATTCAAATACAGGGGTGAGATCACGTATGCGTAATCACCAGTGCGCATGTCAAGGCTAAAGGTCAATGGGGAAATCGTAGCGGATCATGGAAGGGTTTTATGTGAGTAGAGGGATGGTGAAACCGCCTGTATCCGGACACAACATAGTAGACTTTCGTCTCAAAAAAAGATTTTAGTACAGTAAAAGAGGGAAAGCACTACATGGGTATGGATGAAGATGCTAGGTTATTTTTTTATCTAATTGTCACGTATTGACTTTAACGACTGATTTTCAACTACACTAATCCGGGTTTGAACCGATGTGCCTCATAACTTACATGGTCAGATCTGTAGCCTTTTCCTTCCTTTTTGAAGTCTCGAACTACTCAATTAACGCTTTTGCTATAGAATTTCTATATTTTCCTCCATAAATTTGCTTTCAGAGCGGTCGAGAAAACAACGAAGATGTAGATCTTGCTATGGTTCTTGTGGGACGTAAAGCGAAGGATTTGAGAAGGTATTTTTCTCACACCTCTTTCTGTGATTATCTTTTAGTCTTCAGCCATATGAATTAGTTTCAGTC